CCCATGAGAAGGGCAGGTCACAGGTGCTTCTAAAAACACTTAATCACTATCCATGTGTCTGACAAATTCTGACTGGCATTCATTCAACATTTATCAAGCAATTATATGTCAGGCACTGAGCAAAGTGCTTAGTGTAAATGGGGCTTCATAGGTTGTTTTGTGTCTAAAAAATGGATGAGCATTAAAATTCTCACCAAAAACCAAAGGAGAAACCAGGCAAAAGAAAAGATTACATTTTCTGTTAGAAAACCCGGTTGCTACCCATTTTATACTTATCATATGTGAGATAGTGGTAACTATAAAAAGACCAATATTTACATCGTGAGTACAAGAGTGACCTCAGAGTAAATGACCTGATGTATGTAAATGACTATAAAATATGTGAAGACTGAGACCAAATTTTATACATTACTGAAGCCCACCAACACCTACTGCAGCACTATACGTAGGTGATTTATTAATAACTCTTCCAGTTATTATTCCTGAAAAAAAAATCACCTCAATTGAGTGGCACAAAAAAAACCTATTTTATTACATGTACAGATTCTGTGGTACTGAAGAGACCACTTATGTCTGTCCCATGACCTCTGGGGCCTCAGCTTGGAAGCACTGAGAATGTCTAGAGGTGACTCAGTGGCAGCGGGCTGGAGTTGTCTGAGCCCCTGGTCACTCACATGCGTGGTGGTTCATGCCAAGCTGTCTTTGGAACATGGTATATTACTTACGGTCATGAACTCATTTGGAAGAAAAGGGGGTATCTAGTGAAAATCTGGCATGAAATGAGGACTAATGGCCCCCAAAAAAGGAGGTGGCACTAAGTAAAACGGGTTGGACAATACTGGTGCGTCTGGTCCCTGCTGCCTAAAGCCCCAGGAACAAACTGGCCTTGGAGTAACCACATCTTTGCTCCTGCCTGGGTGACACCCAGCATCTAGCTTTCCCAGTATTTTAAGCTACATCCCCAGTACATGTCTCGTTAGAAAGTTAATTTTTTGTGAAATAAAGATTTATATCTCATTTGTAAAAAAGAAAAAGAAAGCTCTTCCCCTCAGAAAGCATTGATACTGTAAAAGGCACGCTACAGATGAAAAGAACAACTGATTTCTTAAACAACAGTGTAAATTATTTCCTTTTCCTCTTTTAGAAACAAACCTTTCTGTAAGGTAAAATTTTATTCTCAACTTTGCAAAATTACCTAAGCAACAGATCACATCTATTACATAAGTTAAAATAAACAGGCTATTTTAAAAAATAAGTCAAAATTCATTATTTAGCTTTCTCTAAATAATTCAAACTTAATTTAGCATAATAATAGATTTTCTATAAACACTAGAAAGTGCCATGTATCCGCAGGCCACTGCACACCTGTCTGGGCTGGGAAGGGGAAGGACAAGAGAAGGCATCAATTGCTTTAAAAGCACTAGGCCCATACAACAGGGTATCATTCGCAATAAAAAGGAATGAAGTACTGATATGTGCTACAACATGGATGAATCCTGAAAACATTACACTGAGCGAAAGAATCCAGTTACCAAAGGTCACGTATTACATAGCTCCATTTATACGAAATGTCCAGAACTGGCAAACGAATAGAGACAGAAGGCAGATTAGTGGTCATGAGGGGCTGGGAGGTTGAGAGTGACTGCTAAATTGTGCAGGGCTTCTGGAGTGATGGAATGTCCTTAGATGCTGATGATCGTTGTATAACAGGGAACATATAAAAAAACACTGAATTGTACACTTTAAAACAGTGACTTTTATGTGAATGATATATCAAAATAAAAATTGTTAAAGCAATAGGCACACCCACTAGGATGGCTACAGTAAAAAGGTCACATGATAACAAGTGCTGGTGAGGATGTGGAGGAACAGAATGCTGAGACCCCACTGGTGAAAATCTAAAATAGTGCAACCACTTGAAAAAAAGTCTGGCATTTCCTCAAAAAGGTAAATATAGAGTTACCATTTGACCCAGCAATTCCATTCCTGTGTATTTACCCAAGAGAAATAAAAACATACATCCATACAGAAGCCTATACACAAATGTTTATAGCAGCATTACTGTTTATGATAGCCAAAAGTTTGAAACAACTCAAATGTCCATTGACTATGAATTAATCAACAAAGTATTTACTCAACTGAATATTTTTCAGTCATTAAAAGACATGAAGTACTGATACAGGCCACAGTGTGGATGAACCTTGAAAACATCTGCTAAATGAAAGTAGCTAGTCATAAAGGACCATATTTTATACACTAAGGCCTACATATTTGTACCCCCCCCCAAATTCATATGTTGAAACCCTGATGTGATGGCATTAAAGAGGTGGGGCCTTTGGGAGGCAATTAGGTCATGAGGGCAGACCCCACATGAATGGGATTAGTGCCCTTATAAAAGAGACTAGGGAAAGCTCCCTTGCCCCTTCCACCAAGTGAGGGTACCATAAGCAGTCTGCCACCAGGCGGAAGCCCTCCTCTGACCTTGCTGGCTGGCACCCTGATCTCAGACTTCCAGCCCCCAAAACTGTGAGAAATAAATTTCCGTTGTTTACAAGCTGCCCAGTCTGTGGAATATTGTTACAGCAGCCCCAGTGTACTGACACTGTATGATCCCATTTATAGCAAATGTCCAGAATAGGCAAACCTGTAGAGACAAAGAGCAGATTAGTAGTTGCCTAGGACTGGGGGATGGGGAATTGGAGAGTGATGGCCAGGAGGTTTCAGTGCGGTTTCTTTTTTGGTGGCAGAGGGGGGATGATGACAATGTTCTAAACTTCATCGTGTGATGGTTGCACAGCTGTGAATATATGTTAAAAACTGTCGCATGGTATGCTTTAAATGGGTGAATTGTATGATATATGAATTATATTTCGATAAATCTCTTTAAAAAATGAAGAATAAATCTAACTGAAAACATTTAAAATCACTAGGTCTGGCCACTCACTTCACCACTCTCTCCCACTGCACCTTCCCAGCCAGTAAGGGCTGGTGCGATGACTCAGAGGTTTGGGGCTTATTTCGGTTCCCTGAACTGTCGAGAAATCAGGATAGTTCACGATTTTCTCCAGTGATGACTGTACCCCACCAACTTCCTCCCCCTAGGGTCCCTGACCGCAGTTTGGGATTGAAGCCGCCCTCTAGGCATGAATGCAGCCCCTCGCCCCTGGCTGGGTCCCGGGACCAGCCCCTGCGTGGAGCACTCGGCCCACAGGGCTGTGGACAGGGTCAGATTCGGCAGGACAGTGCACGCCACCCCGGCCCCGCCCCGACCTCCTGCCTTTCACTGAAGGCACCCACGAGGGCGGGCCGCGGTCACGTCCCTCCCCCGGAGTAGACCGGTCAGCAGAACCGGCTCCCCGCACGGGTGGGGCCCCGGGAGAGGTTCCCGGACCGGTTACACCAGAAACCCCAGCAGCCAGTTGTTCGGTCCCCCTCCGCCCCTGGCTCCTACGGTAGACGTCTCTGTGTGCCTGTTAATTAGGGACCCCCAAAGAAAGCCGGCTCGAACGGGCCCTGCCGACCTGTCTCCAGGGGATACCCGCAGGGGAGCTGGCGGCCGGAGCTGCCCGGGTCGGGATCGCAGTCGCAGCGCCCCCTCCGGCCCGGGCCGGGCGGTGTCCCGCGAACTT